CTTAGCTATAGCTCAGAATCCACGATGCCGTCCACGTTAACCAATCGAGTCATGCCAAGGGCTGTCAATCATTGCGCTGATGTTCGTAGCTCCGCCCATGCTCAGTTGTTTGTTTTCACGGAGCCTCCGAATCAAGTCTCCATTAGGCTCTGAAACTACATGAAAAGGGAACAAAGAATTCTGAACATCCGCGCTGAGTTACCTATTTATATACTGAACCTATATCCATAATTAGATCCTCTGTAGATGTGTCCTATAATGTGCAATTCATGATAATAGCTTCTTCCGGGTTTGCCGAAATAGTTTTTTTGTGTGCATTAAAGCATTATTTTTTTCATGAAAACGTTAACATATAATTCTGAAAACTCATTAACATTTAAATGTGTTACGGAAACGTACGTGTAGACCAATCAGAAAGAAAGGGGGAGGGAGCTTGCGTCGTTTTTTTCAAATCAAATACCTCTCTGTCTCTTTCTGACAAACTGCAGACCATCACTTTAAAACAGTTACAGCACTTTACAACGCATTCAGCACCTTACAACACTTACCGCAACTTAGGACACATTCAGGACCTTACAAAACATTCAGCACCTTACAAAAACATTCAGCACCTTACAACACTTACAGCAACTTACAACACATACAGCACCTTGATCACATTCAGCACCTTACAACACATTCAGCAACTTACAACACTTACAGCACCTTACAACACTTACAGCACCTTACAACACATACAGCACTTAACAACTCTTCTTCTTCTTCCTCTTCCTCACATCGTTACGACCGGCTTCATCGTCTCATTATTATTACTTTTCACACTTCCACCTTTTGCACTATTTCAGATTTTTACAAAAGTACAAGCACTTTTTCCCATTGACTTACATTGGACCAGTACAATAATTCCTCCCCATACAATACAATACAATACAATTTATTCTTGTATAGCCCTAGGTCACAACAGAAGTCATCTCAGAGGACTTAACATAACCATTGAAATCACCAACACAGGTCAGAGAATCAACAGTTAAAACACATGAAAAATATAAAGCACACATATAAGAAAATGTCCATACATGTTGTAGAATGCTAAAGTGTCCTGATCATCACCAATCCTATCTGTTGGACACTAACTGTCCAACAAGACCCTCCTGCATCGACAAAGAAAAACTCTTAAAAAACCCAGTGGGAAAAAGTGAGAAACCTTGGGGAGAACAAGGGAAACCCACAGGGAGGGAGACCCATTTGAGAAAGGGATCCGCTCCTCTGGACGGACAGGCTAATGATCTAGGACCTAAGCTAGCTACAGAGCGTGGACCAGTGGCCGCTGAACGTGGACAGGTCCGGTGCAGGGCTGAAGCACTCCCAGGCGGGTCGGGCGGGGCAGTCCGACCCGCTGTAGATGGAGGAGGCCAGGCTCCGAGATCCCGTCATTGTACCATGAAACAGACAATGGGACAACGGGTGAATAGCAATGAACAAACTACAGTCAAAATCCTAATAATGCTAAACAGATACAGTAGGAAGGAGGAGAGGATACTGCTCAAGTTACCATACTTCTCCCAGCTTGACTGACAGGGGAGGCTAAACTCCTCAGACTGAGTCTTACCTTCCTAGCCATATGCTAAACTAAAGAGGACTGTTTTAAACCTAGCCTACAACACATCACCACACTAACAATTCATTACCACGGATACAATACAATACAACATCTTACAAAACATACAGCACTCTACAACACATACATAACTTTACAATGCTTACAGCACTTTACAACACTTACAGCACCTTACAACACTTACAGCACCTTACGACACATTCAGCACCTTACAACGCTTACAGCACTTAACACTTCTTTTTCTTTTTCTTCTTCTTCCATACATTGTTACGACCGGCTTCACCGTCTCATTATTGCTATTACTTTTCACACCTCCACCTTTTACACTATTTCAGATATTTACAAAAGTACAAGCACTTTTTCCCATTGACTTACATTGGACCAGTACAATAACTGCTCCCCACACAACACATCACCACACTAACAATTCATTACCACGGATACAATGCAATGCAACATCTTACAACACATACAGCACCCTACAACACATACAGCACTTTAGAATGCTTACAGCACTTTACACTTACAGCACCTTACAGCACATTCAGCACCTCACAACGTTTACAGCACTTTAAAACACATACAACACCTTGCAACACATACAGCACCTTACAACACATTTCTTCTCATTCCTTTTCTTCTCCTTCCTCTTCATCCTCTTCTTCCTCTTCTTCTTCCTCCTTCCTCCCTGACCCTTACAACACCTATGCAGCCATTGTACCATATCTAGTTTACTGTTGCCTTTCTAGTTGCTCGAACCAGTCTAGCCATTCACCTCTGACCTCTGGTATTTTGGCCTACCGATCTACAGCTCACTGGATATTTTCTCTTTATTGGACCGTTCTCTGTGAACCCTAGAGATGGTTGTGTGTGAATATCTCAGTAGATCAAATGTTTCTGAAATACTCAGACCAGCTCGTCTGGCACCAACAACCATGCCACATTCAAAGTCACTTAAATCACCTTTCTGCCCCATTCTGATGCTTGGTTGAGGGTCCCCCTGCTTAAGGCCTCGACTCCACCGGGCACGTAAAACGGACTACGTATCCGTCCAAACGCGTCCGTTTCATCTCCGTTTTCGTTATCTCCATGAGGGTGAATGGAAGTGGCTCCACTGCCTGCAACATGTGTCCGTCCGACGCGCGTTGGGAGCTGTCCGTCAACGGAGGGTGCAACGGACGCGTACGGATGAAATCGAAACGATCCTATTTTTTACGTCCGTTGACGCGTGTCGGGTCCGTTTTCCATTGGAAATTCAATGGAATAATATGTTTACCACATTATTAAACATGTATTGATATATGCTGTGGTCCTTCGTTATAAGTGTTTGTTAATGACAATGATTATTAACAAATGTGCGTAATTTTTTTCATGTATTAAATTGAAATAATTGTTTACTGATCGTAAATCTACCATTTATTTTTTGCGTAATGTTAATACGCTAAACTTTACATACACCTCGCTCTTTTTGCTCTCGCTCTGTCCCCTCTACGTCCGAGGCGCTCTCTCCTCACCACACACACACACACACACACACACACACACACACACACATATATTAGCCACAGAGCCACTGCACTCATGAGAGACAAATCTCACAACAACACTGGATATGTTGGAGTTCTTTTCTCTTTTCTCTCTCTCCCTTTTCCAATTGCTTTCAATAAGTTTTGCCTCATCCATCGCAACGTCCTCAATGCGTCAATGTGCCGTGCTTTGCTTGGATCATTGCCACAGCTCATGCACATGACACACCGCTTCTTCTATTTAAAACAAAACCTTCACGGGGCTGATAAACGCACAGAGAGAGCTGCACGCTGCTGCAGCCGGTTTGGCCACTATTCCGTTTTACGGACGTCTGACGGGCAGCAGCCAACGCGCGTCAACGGAGTCGCGCCCGGTGGAGTCGCGCCCGGTGGAGTCCTGGCCTGCTTAAGCCAGTACATGTCCAGGCCCACCTGAAGCTTGCTCAAAAGCATTTGGGTGATCCAGAAAAGGATTGGAAGAAAGTTGTATGAAACCAACTTTTTGGTAAAAACTCAACTCCTCGTGTTTGGAGGAGAAATAATGCTGAGTTGCATCCAAAGAACACCATGTTTTTCTGCAAAGGGACTAGAACGACTATCTGTGTAACGGAAAGAATGTATGGGGCCTTGTATCGTGAGATTTTGAATGAAAACCTCCTTCCATCAGTTAGGGCATTGAAGATGAAACGTGGCTGGGTCTTTCAGAATGAAAATGATCCCAAAAACACCGCCCGGGCAACGGAAGAGTGGGTTTGTCAGAAGCATTTCAAGGTCCTGGAGTGACCTTGCCAGTCTCCAGATCTTAACCCCATAGAAAATCTGTTGAAAGTCCATGTTGCCCCCCAAAGTGGGGTCCGCGGCCCCCCAGAGGGTATTGCAGGGGGGCCGCGAGAGGTCATAAAAAAAAATATTTTTAAAAATAATTATTGTATCTTAAATTAATAATATTTTGTTTACAATATTATAATATGTGTGTTCATTATTTGACTTGAATAATCAAATTGGAATCATGTTTGTATTACAAAATGGGGTGCGTCATTTAAATGTTTGTAGCAGAGGCTAACCCTAACTAGAAGAGCCTATTTTTAACGGGGTTATTATTTTGGTTATTATTAATTCTCATTCGGTTTTTATGGTTATTATTTCGGGGGGCTGCGCAGACCAGTCAGATTTTTAAGGGGGCCGTGGTGTTACTGACTTTGGGAATGGCTGCTCTAGAACATCACTGTTCTAGAGGAAATCTGCATGGAGGAATGGGCTAAAATACCAGCAACAGTGTGTGAAAACCTTGTGAAGACTTGCAGAAAAAGTTTGAGCTCTGTCATTGACAACAAAGGGTATACAGTATAACAAACTATTGATGAACTTTTGTTATTGACCAAATACTTCTTTTCCACAATAATTGGCAAATAAATTCTTAAAAAATCATACAATGTTATTTTCTTGTTTTTTTTTTATTCTGCCTCTCATAGTTGATAGTAATAATAAAAACATAATACAAATAATCTAATAAACCTGCTTAATGTAAGTATGCCAGGTGATTTCAACATTACTTTGGTGGAATTACTTGTTTTAAGTTTTACCAATAATTATTCTGTGGCTTTAAATAAAGGTATAGTCCTTGGTCCAATGTGCAAGCTTGGTTGCAAGGCAGTATTCACGATCTACAATCAGGAAGTAATATTGTGCATCTGTGTTCTGTTTTTTTTTTTCTTTTTAAATGAAATAAAACAAACATTATTCAAAAAAATACTTTTTAAACCTTTTTTTAATTGCAATCTTTTCAGAGTGCATTTTATATGTGTTTTGTGCCTTTACATAACGGCTAAAGCTAAAGCTGTCTCTTGCTTCTGTAGGTGAAGCTGGAGCTGATCCGACAGGCCAAGTCTCTGGAGCAGGTCCGGGAGATCATGGAGGATTCAGTCTCTGAAGATCTGGAGAGAGTTGAAAAAGCCTTGTAGTCTCACAAACCCATAACTGAGATGACACATTCCAAGTGTTAAAGCTGCACTACGTAACTTCTCTGTCGGATACTTGTAATAGTTTGTCTAGTATTAATTATGCATTCTTCCATGGGCATCACCACACCAATTGATCTCTCTCTATGGAGATTTTAGTTTAGTTTAATGCCATTGTGTGGAGCCGGCCAAGCAAAGACACAGCAACAAGTGGCTCATATTTTTGCAGTAATAAGAAGTGTTTTTTGTTGTTGTTGTGGGTGACAAGATTTCAATTTGGTTTCAAAAGTATTACAAAAGCAAAGTGGTTCTTTCAGACTCACACCAATAACAGATCTACCTATTATCATGAATGTAAAAGATCTTATTTATTCTGTTAGCTGTTTTTAATTAACTCAATGGTCTTCTGTACTTTAAATAAATAGAAGGAAAGTATTTAGACACGCTGATGTAAGCAATAAACATATCCACATTTTTGACACTGTAACTATGAAGAGATGTACTTTTAAACTTTGGATAACTATGGCGGCACGGTGGCTGAGTGGATAGCACTCTCGCCTCTCAGCAAGAAGGTCCTGGGTTCGAATCCCGGCCGGACCAGGGCCTTTCTGAGTGGAGTTTGCATGTTCTCCCCGTGTCTGCGTAGGTTTCCTCCGGGTACTCCGGTTTCCCCTACCACTAAAAATATGTATATGTAGGTCTGGCATACGCCTCCTGTTCGGCAACCCCGCTCCCATCTCTGTGAGGAGTGAGAGGACAAGTGCCCAAAAATAACAATTGTAAACCGCTTTGTGACTCTGGTCTGTGAAAAGCGGTATATAAATAAAGCTTACTTACTTACTAACTAATCCAAAGAGCCATGTGTAAAAAAATAAACTACACCGTAATTGCTGGACTATAAGTTGTTGCCTTTTTCAATGTATTTGCCTGTACAATGGTGCGGCAAAGGTGTGCATTTTATTGTGTGAGAGTTTATGGACTTTAATTGTTATTGTGACTCCATCAAGTGTTAGCTATATTGTTTAAAAGAGTTTGGTAAATGAGTCACTGAAGCATTTTAGTGTAAGTGAATATTTGCATCCTAACATTGTATTGTTTCATTTACCAAGCTTTGTACACCACAAGTCAACAGTGCGTGATGATGTGACCAGTTAAAACCATCTATTGGATTTGCCATACTCTATCAGCTGTACTTGAGCGGTTGGTTAGGTATTACGTTACAACACAAAAACCTGTGGTGCAGCGCATATGTGGACAAAAAATCACTTTCTCTTTTGTTGTAGCTAATGCGGTTTATATACGCATTGGCTATATAAACAAACAGTCCAGCAAGTACTGTAATCATTTTAGATGAGATATAATCAAGTGCAATCTTGATATTAGGGCGATTTAAAATGTTTTGAATGAACATATACAACAGATAAGAGATAACAGATCCTTTATGTCAATGTCATGTCTTTTTCTACCCCTTTATTATTCAATTTCTCCATTTATGTCAATGAAGTTGATCAAATAAACATGCATGAGTAGTAGCTCCATTTTATTTATTGTTGTAGCTGTAGCTAGTCCACTGTATACGTACATCTTTGGTTATGCATTATGTAGAACATGGTTAGCAAACTTAAGTGAAGAATGCATCGCTAGTTGCATCACCTACTTACAGACAGCGTGAGTTTTAAGCAGCAAAACAGCTGGAGAAGTCTTTATGTAAACACTGTCAGACCAAGGTTTAGCTGTCCCTGTTGTTGCATTACAAGTCCATGAGTGATAAATATTAACTCATTCACTGCCCATGACGACAAAACTCGTCATGTTGAATAGTAACGCTCACTGCCCATGACGAGTTTGACGAGTTTTTCGTGTTATTACACGGGAGGCTGCAGTAATGTCTGGCGCACCTTGTTAATGACCCACAACACTGATATATAGTGCAAATGTACCTGTAATGATAAATCACCACCAGTAGGACGCAGTATTGCACCACAGGAGAGGTCATAAGTCAGTGGAGAGGAGGAGGAGGAGTGTGGGGTCTTTGGACAGCGTGCTGCTGTAGCAGAGCGTGCTGCTGTAGCATTGAGACGATCTAGTTTAGCAATAGTATAGCAAGAGTGATGGCGAAAAAGAATAGTTATAAGCAGCTGACACTGCTTCAGAGATTGACTCGCGGATCAGTGAGTGAGGTCGAGAGGGGAGAGAGTGGAGACCCCGGTGGAGGTCCGTCTCTGCAGCTACATTTGCGCGGAGCAAGAGCAGAGACACACCTTCCGCCTCTCGCAGCGTATCAGCTGCTGCTGTTACTGATGCCTCGGATTCGTTCAGCAAACCTGATCATGATTTATCGGACACACACACAAACACTCACACGCACTCACTCACTCACTCACGCACACAGACACTCACTCGCACACTGACATTCACACACTGACATTCACACACACTGACACACACTCACACAGACACTCACTCACTCGCACACTGACATTCACACACACACACTCAAATTCACATGCTTCATTCTATTTTATACATCTATAGTTTTATTGATCTTTGTGTTGTTGTTGTTTGACGTTTTGGTTGATGGTATAGAAGAAAGTTAAATTTGTGTGTATCTGTGAATAAATTGCCAACAATTTGCCATCAAAAGTATTATTTCAGAGTCATGTTTTTATAATTTTTGTAATGGAACAAGTGTGGAGATGTTTTGAGTTGTCACTAAAGCAGCAAAAATGCATCTAAAAGTCTCTTTTCTGCTTGATATGTTCCTGTTTACATACAGCTCGTTTTCTCTGTTTCTTGCTCAGACCAGGTGTTATGGGTGAAAGTATGCTTTGTTCTATGGCGAATAACGCAAGAACGGTAAGAGGTAGAAACAAACTGTTTTTTTCAGAGTAAAGCAGAGAGGTGAATCTTTAATTTGGTGCCCTTGGTGTTTACATCGTCTAAAAAATGAATATTCTGTGGCACTTCAAAGTTGGGTCAAATCACCTGAAATTGCTGGCAGAATGCACTTCTCAAATCTGAAAATGCCTGGCAGTCAGTGAGTTAAGATACATTTACTAAACAAAATGCAAAACTGACAAACAAAGTTGACAGCTTCTCCAATATATCTTTATTCTTTAAAAATGAAATCATCACAGGTTTGTACTTCTAGCTATATATTATGTTAAGTAAATACACAAAATGCCTTGGCATGGGTGTTTTAAGGTCACTGCGGCTTCATTGCACTCTGTTCAAGTGACTCCTGTCACTCGGAGCGTGGGCCGTTTGTCGTTGGTGTGTGCGTCTCCGCTGGTGTCTCCTCTATTACACTTTTCCTGAGTGAATGAAACACATTGTAAAAGGTCATTTTTAAGGGACACAACAATATTTGATTTATTAAAAAAAAGAAAAAAAAAGAACATAATCAAACATATGTATTGTGCAACAAAACAATCACTTTTTTCCCATTCGTAAACTGCAGTCAATTATTATTTCCCTACATTTACGTCTAGGTCTGCTACCAGTGTCTGCATTTACATCTGTTGAATCCCATCCGATCAGTGAGCACAAGAGGCAGGTGTCGGGGATGTCAAGAGTTTGCGCCAAATGTGCTGGTTGTAGTTTGGCAATGCATCCATCCCATAGACTGTATATATAAACGGACATAGGGCCTCATGTATGAAAGTTGCGTAGAAAAGGGTGTATATTTTGGGTGTATATTCCATTTACGCAAGATCCGACGTGGCATTTATGAACGTGTGAGATACGCACAGATCTGAGCGTACGCACCTGCGGCTGTTGATAAATGCTGCGCTCAAAACCAGCGTATTTATGAAAGTCACGCCTAGAAATATTCAGAAACTGCCTGTTCCACGCCCTGTTTTTGCGACAGGTCAGCAGGAAGTCTGCTAAGAAGACTGTTTGGAAGCCTCAAAAAACACACACTTCTGAGATTATTCACGTTTAGAAAAATATATATATTCGCTCTATTAGATATACGCGTTTTTCCTTAGTGTAGACCCACTGCAGCACTCATCTCTCCTGAAATTTAGAAGTAAATAAATAAATAAATAATAAATGAATGAACCAGTTCCCACATGCGCGTTGCATCCTATCTCTGCTATGCGGAGAACAGGGCAGTGGATGAGCTGTTTTGAGCAAGATCAATTGCGTTTATGGGGCTTTATGCACAAAACTAAGGAAAACCCACATTGCTTTCCCAGAGGTGAATGAAAACATATGCAAAACATATGCGTAATTACGTATACGGCGCAGGGTCTGGTTAGTGAGTTAACGGCTAAAGAAAAAGAACTTCACGGAGCAGGAGATTGAGACCATTATGAACGAAGTGGGAAAAAGAATAAAGTCTTACAATTTGGAATTCTCAAAAGTGGCATCAAGGGGCTCAAAAAACAATGTATGGAAAGAAATGACAGCATCTGTAAACAGCATGGGGCCTGAAACACGCACTCCTGAAGAGGTGAGTTTATTCATGTTCGAAGAAAAATACGCTATGTTATATCAAACAGTTGATATATTGGGCCAAAAGTAAGAATTCATTAATTTATGCTACAAGTGAAAAAAAGGGAGCAACCTTAAAATGTAACAAAAAGGCGTTTAGCGCAGCCCATAGAAAAAGTGCTCAGCAGCCCAGGGGGAGGACCGCCAGACCAAAGCATCCAAAAGAAAATATAAAGAAATAAAATTATCTTCAAATTATGTGATTATTATTTTAAAATGGTTAAATAAGAGCCTGTCTGAGCTGTACAGGCCGAAGTGTCACACACTGCTCCACCAGTGTCCTGTGCCTGTTGTGGAGAAACGAACCAGGACCATGTGGCACACTTGTACCGGGAGGTACCAGAGCCTGATCAGACCCGCGCAGCGCTCCACGGTGGCGCGCGTCTTTGCTTGGACCCGCATGAACCAAATGCCATTACGCACTGATTGTAGGTGCATATAACAATCCACACATTTGTGGGAGACTAAGTTTGACATCTTGCACGTTATTTAATAACACAAACTAGCCCTAACATAACATCGTAAAATTGCATATTTGTAATGTGAGAGGTGTGCCTATAATCTTGTCAGAGTGGGAATATGTTTATTTTTGTCCAAATCTTGCATTTCATGCGTGTTTTGGCGTGTTGTAATGAAGGTTGAAAAATGAGCGTACACATTTACACCACCTCCAGACCTGGCGTATATTTTTTCTCACGTCCAGATTGATAAATGCGGAAAAGTGTAAATATTTTGCGTACGCATGATTTACACCCTGATTTGGCCGTACGCAAGTTTCATACATGAGGCCCAGAGTCACGCCTATCTCCGCCGTTCTAACTAATGGGCCAAAAAAAGTGCTCTACTTACTGGAGCTATCCAAAATGTTAGCATTGGCTAATTCTTCTTCTGGGTCCACCCCTATCGGCCCGGGATGCTTGCATGTGAGTGCACGTCATTTTGGCCACTTTTGAGCTGGGACCCGCCCCCACTGATCAATCCAAGAGAATACATCCACCTATCTTCTTCCCCTTAATCAATTTCTGGGTCGGGTAAATGTGCATACTTTTTGCAGTGTGAGCCACTGTCGTCCTCTCAATGAGAATGCAATAGTAAAGTAAAGCCTAGTTTATACTTGCGCAGCTCACGGTGTTGACGTGACGTCACTTACCCAATGCAAGGATCACCGTAAGACCCTTGCGTAGCCACTCCTGCTCCATCAAAAACTACGCAGCCGGTGTCGCTGAGAAGGTGCACTGTGATTGGCCCGTGTGTGATTACTTTTTGGATGGAAGCAAGGAGCGGCTGCGGGGAACATGGACGAGGCTCTTTGGAGCAGACTGCTTCGTGCTCAAAGGGGAACAAAGGAAAAGCAGTTTGGGTTCATGGCTCAGAGCCTGTGGACTGTTCAGTTCTGTTGCATATCCAACATATATAAAACTTATATACTGTACAGTCGTTTCTCTTGCACTGTTCCTGTCTTTGTTTGAATCTTCACTTGTAGCTTATCGCGTCTGTTGCATTCCTCCTGCACTTGGTCTCAGATATTTATAACTTATTGTTTTGCTATTTGTGCACAAAAACACTTTAATAACTCTGTTTCCAACAAGAACAGTGTCTTTATTCACAGCATCACAGTTAAATGACTCATGAAACAATGAGTCCATAGAACTATCACATAAATCTATGCCTAGATACACATTTAATTAGCTCAAAAAGCTTGGTTCGCTATTGTTTTTGTTCTGAAGAGGAGAAAGTATCTAGCGTAAAATCGGGCCGCTTTGGTTTCCCAGGCAAATCCCGTGTGATCGCCATCACGTGGTTGGGTGAGGGATTACAAGATTCTCTTCTAAACTATACAGGGAGGTACTCCCAAGTGTACGAGTAACTGTGGCTGCTCCAGCGTAACCGCCAACGTAACCAGCGGCCGTCCCTCCAAACTTTCATCTCAAACAAGGAGAAGACTGATCAGAGATGCAGCCAAGAGGCCCATGATCACTCTGGATGAACTGCAGATAACTACAGCTGAGGTGGGAGAGTCTGTCCATAGGACAAAAATCAGTCGTGCACTGCACAAATCTGGCCTTTATGGAAGAGTGGCAAGAAGAAAGCTATTAAGATATCCATAAAATGTCTTGTTTAAAGTTTGCCACAAGCCACCTGGGGGACACACCAAACATGTGGAAGAAGGTGCTCTGGTCAGATGAAACCAAAATAGAACTTTTTGGCCACAATGCAAAACGATATGTTTGGCGTAAAAGCAACACAGCTCATCACCCTGAACACACCATCCCCACTGTCAAACATGGTGGTGGCAGCATCATGGTGCCTAAAATTGAAGGGAAGATGGATGGAGCCAAATACAGGATCATTCTGGAAGAAAACCTGTTGGAGTCTGCAATAGACCTGAGACTGGGACGGAGATTTATCTTCCAACAGGACAATGATCCAAAACATAAAGCCAAATCTACAATGGAATGGTTCACAAATAGACGTATCCAGGTGTTAGAATGGCCAAGTCAAAGTCCAGACCTGAATCCAATTGAGAATCTGTGGAAAGAGCTGAAGACTGCTGTTCACAAACGCTCTCCATCCAACCTCACTGAGCTGTTTTGCAAGGAAGAATTAGCAAGAATTCCAGTCTCTCGATGTGCAAAACTGATAGAGACATACCCCAAGCAACTTGCAGCTGTAATTGCAGTAAAAGGTGGCGCTACAAAGTATTAGCGCAAGGGGGCCGAATAATATTGCACGCCCCACTTTTCAATTTTTGAGAAGTCGGCATATTGCGATAGGTCATTATGTCATCAAATTGCACGGGGCCCAACGGAGTCCCTCCTCCATGCTAGGTATCCTGTTGGGCCCTGGTGGGAGTTTAACCCAGCGCCAATTGGCTAAAGCTGGCGCAGGCTCTGACACCAGGATAAAGCAGAAAAACAACCGGCATTAGCCCAGCAGCATTAGCCTAGCAGCATTAGCCCAGATCACATCCATGGGCTTAATGTTGACAAGCGCCAGCGTGGTCATCACGGCAGATGTTTGGTCAAATTAGCGTCAGATTCGGACTTCCGCGGTCGATATATCACGAAAGCTACTTTGTTAAACAAAAGTAATTGTCCTAAAATGATCACATTTACATCGATTGTTCAAATCCAATGCGCTGTTTTTATGCAGAGAAATCCGTTGCTGCAAGCGCAAAGAAAAGCGCTGAGGGAGCGTCAACAAATGTCATTGAAGAACCTTCAGCACAGTACATAAACATGAACATACAATTTATAACCACATTTTTAACACCAGACCTACCTTCAAGATAAGTGCGAGCCACAAACTTGAGAAGTTCATCTATAAGAATAACTGGGAAGGACAGCTTCAGCACCATCATCCATTGCTCTACATTCAAATGGGTGAGTTTAAAGATCAGCTGTGAATGGAAAACACACCAAGGTTAAAGGTGAAATATTACACACTAAAAATGATAAAGATAAATTAAACTCTACTTTATCTATTCATGTTTTAGAATGTGAATTGTCTTCAGTTGAATAAATGGTGAAACATGGGAAGAATAAAAATGTGTTCTGCCTGTAACTTCCTATGCTACCAAAACAAAGGAAGCAGTGACATATTTTTTGCAACAGTGCTCTGAGCGGGATGTTGTAGACTGACTAATGTCTTACAGTACATGCATGTGTCACTTTGCATGCTGTATGTGGACATGCTATCTGTGCTCTTAGCTATTCTCACCCCCTTCCCATCCCTCAATTGTGTTGTTTGAATATAATATATGTTCCCCCTCCCGAGTTAGCTATACTCGGGTGTGGTTGGTGTTGTGGGCTTTTATTCCCCCTACATATTATGTTTGTATATTTTGTACATTTTACAATGTCAGTTAAATATGTCATATAGGAGACACATATACAGAAGGTGTGCAAGAATTATTTAAACCAAATTAGGCATGTGCATACATTTCTTTTTATTTCAATATGTTTAGTTCAAAATCCTTGGAACTCAAAATTGTCAGTGACCCTTGACCTCTATATACAGGTGAATCTAATGATAAGAATGGATATCAAAGTAGGCGAATTCTAAGTGTTTGCCTTCTTTGCATCTTCTCTGTAGATTGGCAACATGGGAGCCTCAAAACAATGACCCTGAAAACAAATATTGTTCAACATCATGGTTGAGACTTTAGGGGAAGGACACAAAAATCTTTTCTGCACATGCCACACACAGTAGCCTGACTCTCGCCAGACCCTTGTAGTTCGCTGAGAACGGAAGAATTTCAGAAGGCGGGGCCTTTTAATAAAAAATGCTTGTATGTGATTGGATAAACCACTTATTTACCACGTTTGTTATCTTGAATGACGTGTTCCTCCAATCACTCACATCGAAGCACACAATTCAGCACACGTTGTGCTCGGACCCAGACCCTTGTGTGCAGCGAAATGCCTCTGGTGGAGCATGGCGGAACTACAAGGGTCTGACGAGAGTCGGGCTAACAAACTGTGCCACTTGAGCACATTTGGACACGCCAGCTTCATTTTGGAATAAGGTGCAGTGGACTGGTGAAACAAAAATGTTGTTATTTAAGGCCTGTGTATACTCGGGCGTCAAAAATAGGTGCTGTGTGTATTCTAGGTCAGTGGTTCTCAAACTTTTCACACCAAGTACCCCCTCAGAAAATACTTGCCTCTCCAAGTACCACCACAAATGACCAACACTACACAGTAGCGTAGTAAGCCGAAGTATTCATCAAAAACAAGGCAGAGGTTTCATTCCTAAAGAAGTATATTTAATGTAATGTTTTACACATTTTCAACAGTAAGACTGCGCTTAAATATAGGAAAACATGTTTTTTAAATGTTTCATTCATTACAAACTGCAAAGCCTCACTGTGAATGATATTCTGGAGTGGGATCTTTGTCCACAGAAGGTTTGGACTCTGGTGCACTTTAGTTTCTAAGGCTTGGTCTGCTGCCCTCTTATATCTGTCGTTTACTCACAGAGACATGTTCATGTGGTTTGGATCAAATGATCGTTTGTTGCTCTCTGTTCCTTTTGCACAGAACTGGGAAAAAAAACTTTTGTTTTTGCTGCTCCTTCTACATGGAACGTGTTGCAAAAAGACTAGAAATGATCTGATCTTATTTCCTTGAATGCTTTTAGATCCAGATTGAGACATCTTCAGTGAAAAGTAACTGTTTTTATAATCCGTAATTTTATGAAATTGTGTGTTACTGTTGTATAATCTGTATGTGACCGTTTTATCATCTGTATGTGACTGCTTTATAATTTTATGTAATTTTTGAACACGAAAAAGAGGTTCTCATTGACTGCCAGCCATTTTTTGATGACTTCACTGATTTTTAAGACTCACAGAATATTGTGTGCTATGAAAAATATGAAACCAGAGTCTAAAGACAGGACTGTCTACTTTCAGCAGCAAAAAGAAGTTTGTTCTTAGTTTGTTTCGTTCTCCTGTGATCTCCAGTTGAAAAGAAGGGAGTGTGACAAAAAGCACCAGTCTTAGACAAAAAAATGAGAAAATGAGGTGTTTGTGAAAACAGACGAACTGCAGAAAAGTGATTGTAAAACTATTTAGTTTTACTTTAGCATCTCCTCAAACATGTCCAGGATCACATGTTAGAAAACAGCAACAACACATTATGAGAAAGTGTTTTTGATGCAAAATAATGTTTTATGGCACACACTCACATCCACAAAGTGTTGCTCAAATATTTCAAAATGTACTCATCCAAAAACTGTCAAAATGTACATATTGAAAGTAGAGCCCATGACAAACTATGGCAGATAGAATGGCCAGTATTCATCCATTAGGTGGCACTATAATTATGTCAATAAGAGTAAATCAAAGAATAACAAAATTACAATGATAGTAAGTAAGTAAGTTTTTATGTATATACCGCCTTTTCACTGCAGATCTGAGTCTCAAAGCGGTTAAGTGATAAACACTATACATGACAATAAATCAAAGTGAATACTTATAATTATAGTATAAGTGCAATAGAATACTGCTGTGTGTGTTTGTGTGTTTGGGCATGCATGTATGTGCGTTTATGCACGCGTTTGTGTGTTTTTGTGTGGTTACATCTACAGAGCGTCTGTTTAGTCTGTGACCATAATTGGACTTTGCTGCTGGCTCCTGGTGTGGACTCAGTGATAGTTTTAGCAATAGTCCACTTTTCTGTGGCTTTTTTGGGGTGCTCCGCTGGTCTGCTGCTCTGACCCTCCACATGGTCTGCTGCTCTGACCCTCCACATGGTCTGCTGCTATGACCCTCCACATGGTCTCTGTCAGCTCTGGAGACACATTTACTGCTCAAACTGCCTCCAAATGTAGCCTGACCCTGACTATATTACTCCATGTCTGCTTCACCTCTGTCTCTCCTGCTCAGAGTGCTCAGAGTGATCTTTGACCAAACCAGGGAGTTCTGCTACCACCTGCTGGCCTAATAAAATAGTGTCTACAGCCAAACCCCAGACTGTATGATACAGGGGACACAGACTGACAGGAAAAGATTGAAAAACAATGTTGTCCTTCAATGACATCCATGGCTTTTTATTTTTTTTTCACAGATATTTTTTTTTTCACAGATTCTATGGCATACCCCTAGAGGGCGCCCGCGTACCACTAGGGGTACGCGTACCCCAGTTTGAGAAACACTGCTATAGACTATACATTTTTACCAATCAAACTAGGAGCGAAGACAATTCTCCAGCAAGTGTGGTCAGCTGTGAGGCGTATGTCTGGGGTCAAGCGTGCTAGGTATATTCCAGTGTTAGAGAGTGAAAGAGGGGCAGCGGTTAATGATGAGCAAAAGGCAGATCTATTGTCCAAGGAGGGAAGTAGACGGAGGGATTCAATGTTGGCTGTGCATCAGCATAAAATGTAAATGAATTGTGAAAATTCTGAGGATATAAACCTGTTTTTTACATTTACAGAGTTAGTCGGAGCAATTGACAAGGGGGGTCATACTGCGCCAGGAAAGGATGGTTTGATGTACAGAGTTTTTAGTAATCTTGGGGAGGATGTATTGCAAGAGATTCTGGCATTAATTAATAATGTATGGGCTGAAGGGCGTGTACCAGTAGCCTGGTAGTGGTTATTCCCATTTTAAAACCAGGAAAGGCTTAAAACAACTGTTGTATTTATATAAATACGTGACACACTAAAACGCATGTGTTTTATGACCTATCGAACTCTGGGTTGGAGGCCAGTCCTTATTTATCAGAGGTGTCTTCTTGTGTGGGATCAAATAAACAACAGATGGTTTCTGCTTGTTTTTCCCCCTAGTCTTGGCTCCTGCTTTGGGGGTTGACTGACTTCTGCACTCTTCTCCTCACTCAATCATGAGTTGGTTGACATGACTGGAGTCTTCTAGTCTACTCATTTTACGATATGATAATACACATAACCTTTCTTAACATATATTTACTTCATATTTTAGGTGATTTCATGTACTTAGATATTAGGTTATTAGTGTGATGTGTTTTGTACTGCACATAGGTTTGTTCTTTAGTAAAGCGGGCTGTTGAAACTAATTAAGGGAGTTGTTTAGACAACAGAGATTGATCCCAGACCGGTGACAGCTGCCTGGAGACTATTTCCTTATAAGCAATAAATCTATAGATTTGGGGAGGGGTAGTGTGTGTGAATGATTCTGTTTAGGTCTGGCGAGACGGAGGAGACCAGATGGTGCGGAGGCGGATCACGGGACCGGAAGCTGCCTGATACGACACGCCCCTTCCTCCTGCACATTTACTTAAGGAATAGCTTGAATGTGTTAGTTAGAGTTTTTTAGACTGGACCAGGGATAGCAGTGTGACATTGCGTGGAGCGCCCACCAAAAGTTATACTTTATACTTTATATAGAGAATGAGGGATAGTTACTTTTGGTCCGGACAGCTGTTTTAGATTCTTTTTGTATTAGGGAAATAAACCTTTTTGAATTTAACTTCCTGAATCTTGGTCATCTTTATAAGGGATTTTGAACACGTCATTTTTTAATACGATACAACCCAGGATCGTACAGACCCATAGCACTTACGTCGGTATTGTGTAAAATTATGTAAAGAATGGTGACAGACAGACTAGTGTACACGTTAGAAAAAGAGGGTTGGTTTGTCCCGTAGTGGCTTCAGGAAAGGGAGAAGCACCATAGTCAGTATTATCACTGGACTGTGATATTAAGAGAGCAATCGCTTGTACAGAGGTTCTTGTGGCTGTATTTTTGGATATTGAGAAGACCTATGATATATTGTGGAGAGAAGGACTTACAGTGAAACTGTATGATGCAGGTGTTAGAGGTCGTGCTTTAAATTGGATTAAGGCGTTTCTATTAGGTCGAACAATTCAAGTAAGAGTAGGAAGTGCACTGTCCCAATCATTAAACATTGACAATGGTACTCCCCAGGGGAGTGTAATCAGTCCAGTTTTGTTCAAAATCACAAGGCCAAGGTGAAGAGCATCCTGCCAGGAGGGTGATGGAGGATACATGGGAGATGGGAGGAAGGGGGGAGCGGGACGTTTATTTGTGAGGTAAAGGATGAGATTCCAGAGCTCAGGCAGAGGAACACGGCTCCGGTGGTTGTCTGGCCCGCAGTCCCGCCCTGGCTGCTTCCTCAGGTGGAGGTGGACTGGTCCGCTAAAAAGGGCCTTAAAGAAAGGGGAAGAGTGTGTGCCCAAGAGGTTGTGAGGGAGGTATTGGGGACTAACTGGAACAGTGCCCTGTTTCGGATAGGAAAACACAGAGATGGTCTGTGTGAAGAGTGTAGTGAGCAAGAGACAGTGAAACACGTTCTCATACACTGTAAGAAATATGCAGACCAGAGAAGACTATTTTTTTCTCGTGTTCTTCACTTGGGACAAGAGCATGTGAACTTGAGATCCTTGCTTGCCCCCCCATGGGCAGCAGTAAGAAGTGTTTCATGCGCTGGTGGATTTTATTTTTGGCACTGGGCTGTACCAGAGAATTTGAGTGGACTTAAGGTGCAGTAATTGGATCCACCTGTGAAAGGCAATTATTGATCTGTAGAAGGCGTTTGACACCATCAATCATGACATTGTACAAAGAAATTAGAGGAAAAGTGCAAGACTGGAAAAAAAGTTATTTAACTCAAAGGAAGCATTTGGTTTGGGGGATTCTGAATGCCTCGACATATCTTGTGTGGTCCCGCAGGGGGCAATATCTATAGTCTGGAGTTTTTCAGAAAAAAGAGAGAGAAGTACATTATTGGAAAAAAAGGACCCAAGCTCCCTCCTCCTTCCTTTCTGATTGGTCTTCAAGGCAAGCCTACTTTTCCGTGCACGCGCCAGGTCAATGGGCCAAGACGTGCGGAGGAGAGATTATTAATTTAAATATTTAAATATTTTATCATAATCTATTATACAGCTCCTCATAGCATCAGTAGAATGCTCCATTGATTTGAGTGTAATTTCAAAACGTTCTACAAGTCATTATTTCTTGATAATGGATCTCTCAAACCAATAATGACGCTGCCCTTTGGCAACGCACTTTGTGCTCTGTGTGTATTTTACACACCTTCAGGTGTGTAAAATACTAAGATTACTCCGGATAGTAGTTCGCACACTTTGTTACAACGAGCGTTCAGCGCCTGTCACTTATTACTTCTGTCTGTGCGAGAGAAGCTATCGGAGCTAGCCATGCTCAATAACACAAATATCAATTGACACATGTTAATCGGAGAATACATTATACAAAAAAATTCTTAACACACGTGCACGGAGGTTTTCAGAATGATCTGTTAACGTTTTCATGACAAAAATACTGTTTTATTGTGCCAAAAACATTTTAGGACACATTTGCAGAGGATCTGATTATGGATTTATATGGATATGGATTTAGATTAAGTTTATATTTGGGTCACTGTGATAGAAATTATGTTTATATTATCAATTCAATGAATAAGAATGTGCTTAACTAGAGTTCTTAATCTAGAGTGCTTAATCTAGAGTGCTTAATCTAGAGTTCAACTAGAAATGGTACAATGGCTGAAGCCCTTGTGAGTGGCTGCATAGGTGTAAGGGTTGAAGAAGAAGGAGGAAGAAGAAGAAGAAGGAAGAAAAAATAATGTGTTGTGAGTGCTGTAGGCATTGTAAGGTGCTGAATGTGTTGTAAGGTGCTGTAAGTGTTGTAAAGGTAAGGTAAAGGTGCACTTTATTAATCCCCGTAGGGCAATTCAATCCTCTGCATTTGACCCATCCTGATGCCACATCTCCAGATGTTGATGCTCGGCTTGGTCAGGACTACCGGAGCTGGAGGATTTAACCTAGTGAGCATGTTTTTAGTGGTAAGGGAAACCGGAGTACCCGGAGGAAACCTACGCAGGCACGGGGAGAACGTGCAAACTCCACTCAGAAAGACCCTGTTCCGACCGGGATTCGGGTCCAGCGTATGTCTATACCCCTGTCCACCCCTTATACTGTAGCTATATTATTTTTCTGCTTTTGACAGCGACTAAAAGTGTTAGGATCATGTCAACTAGGATAAAATGTGTTGTTGAGTGTAAATATTCCTCTTCAGGCACTATTTGGCCCGAAGAGGAAGAATGCGGCTTGCTTTTTTTCACGGTGCTCTGCTTCTGAAATCTGCGCAGAAACTGATCTGGAAATCTGTTATTTCCACGACGCTAACACGAAGTACAGTGCTACTAGCTCGCAGTATACATCTGTTAACTAAATAATTAGGGTCTGAGTCTGTATTTAGGACATAAGGTGTCGGATTGCCATTGTTGGAAAAGATTTGTTCTCAGGTCTGAAACGACTGTACTAGCGAAGGTGAAGAGTTTTCTTTGGAGATAAACAACTCGCAGCGTGAGGCTACGTCACCGAGTCTCATAGAGGTGACATCACCTTTATGCAAGAAATGGCTATAATCTTACGTTTTGAGTGTTGTATGGTGTATCACTCAAATTATTATCACACATGTGCATAGGATGGACAGTGAAACATGAAGAAGAGCGCAATGATAATTCTTGCACACTTTCTGTAAATGATACAAACTTAATTTAACTTAATATCACAGTGTTTGTCTCCTATAGGTTATATTTAGCTGAAATTTCTTGGCCAAACAACCAATGATTTTTAAAGGAAAACTAAAAAAATGTAAAGGGGTGCCCAAAAGTTACATGTTTGTGCCCAAAGAGACTGGAGGAATAACACGGAGGAATCTAAAAATAACTTAGGTTAACTTAAGATTTTATTCAACTTACTCTCTTGTATTTGAGGCCGTCACTTACCGGCAGAGGATCGACGTAGATGATCATGAAGTGGAGGGACATGGAGAGAGTCATGGCGCCCACAAGCCAGCAATTACTCCAAGGGGGCATCCTCACAAGGGATTGGTTTTCAGACAGGCTGTGGACCAACACAACAACGCAACATTTGAATTGATTCACTTTAACTGGATCCAGTCTGGTGTAGGCCTTTCACAAAAATAACTTAAATTCACTAAAAGGGGGCCTAATTATTAGTTACCTAATGTAACTGTAGTTCTACCAATAGGTGCATAGCCCCTTAGGCTACGCTATGGGTGACTCCTGAGGCACCTAGCACCCGCCAGAGAGATCTCAGATCGAATCCTCCAATCACTAGCCAGCTCCCCCTATAAATAGCCCCACTCAGGCCTGCACCTGCCACTTTGAACTCAGCCAAAGCCAGGCTGGCCTGATGGGCCTGTAGCTAAGGGTCTACGCACCTTTTCGTAGAAGTACAGTTACATTAGGTAACTAATAATTCTACTTCATGGTGCTATGCCCCTAAAGCCTAGCGTACATCGGACTGGCAACTGATTATATCCGTCGCATATGAGTTGCTGCCCCGCACACATCGACAATCTGACGAAAACGGGCAACTCCCAGTCGCAGACCAGTCTCGGGAATAACAGCGCGTACATCGACAGCAACTGGCCTCAACTACAGTGTGTTTTCTGACATAAACTGTTGCGGGCTCGCAATACACGCAATACACACACGTTGTCGGAGCGGCGCATGGAGCGCGCACATCGGGTCATATCTCCGAAACTGAGGACAACTAGTTGCCGAAAAGTAGAACACGGGCAACTGACTGAAACTGGAGACCGACTGATCATCTCCAGTTGTAAGAGCGCGCACATCGACCGATTTCGGCAACTGATCATCTCCCACCATCTCCTCTCAGTTGCCAAAAGCCGCCTTGCAACTAGTTGTCCCCAGTTTCTCTGTCGATGTACGCTAGGCTTTAGGCTACGCTATGGGTAACCACGCGTAGCCGTAGGAAGATTTACTCCCATCAGGCCAGCGTAGAGGGATTGGAGCCCTGCCCGAGATTCTCCCAACACCACCAAGGTGAGCGGTCTCAGGGCAGGAGAAAGGAAGCATAAGCAGTGTTACAAGACCGCTCCTATCAAGGACGCCCAAAGAACACTGACAATCGCCTTCCAAGGCAAAGGAAACCACAGAGTTAAAGGGCCGCTCCTATCAAGGACGCCCTAAGAACTCTGCAAACACCTCCCACGAGAGCAGGGGTAGGTCACATTCCCAGGACGCCTCCATAAAGAGCTCCTGAAGGGAATAGCAACACCGGGAACCAAGGGCAGGCCGCAGCCCCAGGATGCCGCTACCAAGAGCTCCTGAGTGGGGCGGCCATTACACACATACATCAGCCTGTAGGCTGCCTCTACCAAGAGCACCTCACGGTCCCAGTTAGATCCCAGCGTTCAGACCAGAGTGGGCGACCGACCGTTCTGAAACGTCGACCAGATATGACTGGGCAAACAAAGAAGACGAGGCCCAGGACGCCGCCTGACAGACCTCCACCGAGGCCCTTCGGAGCAGAGCCGTGGAGGCCGCAACCCCCCGTGTGGAGTGAGTCTCAACCCCACCGGGGGAGCCAATCCCTGAGCCTGGTACCCCATGCGAACCGCCCGAGCAACCCAGTGCGCCAGCCGCTGAGACGTTAACGGAGCTCCCCTGTTTTTAGGGCCCAAGCACACAAACCACTGATCAGAACGTCTGAAAGAGGCCGTAAGATCCAGGCAACGCCTCAACATTCTGATTGGGCACAGAAGATGCCGCCGTTCCTCCTCCTCCGAGGCATGAGGCGGCGGATGAAAGGGTCTGAAACTGATGACCCTAGACCTAAAGGCCGAAGTCACGACCTTAGGGAGAAAGGCCGGATTGGGCCAGAGCTCGACCAACCCGTCTCCAGCTCCAACGACAGACAGGCCGGGTGGATGGAGAGCGCGCATAAATCACCCGCCCTCTTGGTTGAAGCCAAAGCCAGAAAGAGGTCTTCACCTCCTCCACCTTCAAGTCCCAGACCGAAGGCGTCCTCCTGAGGACGGATCTCCTTCTGCGGGCCCCCGGAAGGAAACGTTTAACTAAAGAGTGGGAGCAGGCTGAATAATCCCCGAACCTTGGTGGTGTTGGGGGAATTGACCCAAGGCAATGGCTGCCGCAACACCGCCAGGGTGCCGGCAGCCGAAAAGCTCTTGTAGAAACCCCAGGATCCCCTCCAGAGGGTAGGACATGGGGTCCCAGGAACGCACCGCGCAAGGCATAGACCCTGATGGTGGAAGGGTCCCTGAATGGTCTCCACCACCGATGGGGGGAGACCCAGGTCTACAAGGTTCTGCCTCTCCGCCTCCAGACCCAAAGTCTGTGGCCCAGCACCGGACGTGAGTGAACCCCTCCCCACCCCTCTAGAGAGGCGTCCGTGAACACCTCCACGTGTGACACGGCACCGACCAGGGGAACCCCGTCCTGCACAGGGCTGGACTGGGACAAAAAAACGGCCCGGGCATTTTTGCCTTCTTGGCGGCCCAGGCATGTTCTTTCACGTTTTATACAAGTTTGTTTATACCAGGGGTTGGCAACTCAAAAGGTTCAAAGAGCCATATTTGACAAAAAAAAACTAAAAACAACATGTCTGTTGTTTGTCTGGAGCCTTGTAAAAGGCTTATATGAAGGTAACACAGGCTGCAGCTGTATTAGCTATATTAGCTACAAATACACAATATAAGCATTCATGATTATCAAATATGTATTTCAAGTACATACAGCAGGAGCTGTATGCCCCCCCCTACCAAGAAGTAGGGGGGGGCAGCCCCCTGGAGGCGTCTTGAGGGTCCATATTGACCGCGGCGCTTTTTCTCAGTAGAGAGGCCTCCTCCAGGTGGAGCGCCTTCTCTGATCCCCGCACCAGGGAGTGCACCGCTCGAACGCCCTGGAACGGCGGTGGCCTTTGTGCAAACTGCAGGGCATATTCTCTGCGCAAGGTTTTCTCTAACCATGCATTTGTGAGCAGTCCCTGCTCCCTACAGGTCTGATAAGACTCTGTGAGAGGGGGCTTAGGCTCGAAGCACTCCTCTCGCGAGCCCCGCCCTCTCCTGGTGCTCCCAGAAGAGGGGGGGGGGGCAAAAGGGCATGCAACCCCCCTGTGATATGCTGCGTGAGACAGAGAAGGTCACTGGCCTCTCTGTCTCACTCATAGCAGCCTGATTTGCCCGTTTCCCTCCTCCCAGAGGAGACGATGCGCTGGTTGCTATGGGAACGCTGGTTGCTATGGGAACGCTGGTTGTTATGGGAACGCTGGTTGCCATGGCAACGGGGCCAAACTTCTGGACCAATCGCTGTGAGTCCCTCGTCTGGTCTTCCTGCTCCCTCCTTCTCAGAGGGGGCGGAGCGCTGGTTGCTATGGGTGCGCTGGTTGCCATGGGAGCGCTGGTTGCCATGGTAACCTCTGGACCAATCTCTGTGAGTTTGTTGTCTGAGCCCACGTGACCCCAGGCTCAGAGCATGGTGCTGCACTGTGTGTGAGTCACAGCCCTCTCCCAGTGCAGACAAGTCGTCATGCAAACAAGCAGTCTCACACACCAAATACGGGTTGTTTCTCTTTTATTAAAGAAACTTCTGCCTCCCCGTCCACCCCTACTGTAAGGGGGATGGTGTTGACAACGCTGCTCCCGGGCACCTCCGCAGGTCCGCTCCGGGCCTCGGGGTCTCGCTGGAAGAGAGCGGGTCTGGTGAGCAGCGACCCGCGGAGGGAGCGCCGCTGGGAGACTGCTCTCTGTTCTGGTCGAGGCCCTGGTTGCGCTGTTCAAGCCCGTCGACCAGCCCCCCAGTCAGATCCTCGCCGCTGAGCGCCTGGCCTGCGGAGAGACCTATCCAGAGCCTGCAATGATTAAGGCCATGTTGCTATGACAACGCGACCACCTGAACCGCGTTGGCATCGCACACCTCCAGTACGGACATAGACCTCCTCTCCCGCTCGGAGGGAAAGGGCGGTCTGTTGTCTGGTCCCACGGGAGGACGCAGGGAGCAACGTCAGCCCCACCACGTCCTCCGCGTTAGGGACTCAGCTGGACCAAGACCAGTCTTGGACCGTACCGTACGTGCCAAACCCCAGGGCGAGCCTCTTGGCTCCCCCGCGGTGTGAGCCCGTCACGTGTGGCGTAGTGAACACTGGGTTCATACGTGGGCACCGTGTGAGCTCGAGCCTCTCCTTCGCTGCTCTGAGCCCTCTCTGTCTCTGTCTGTGAGGACTGTGGTGGGAGGAGGATTTCCCCGCACCTGGCAGCTGCAGACGGAGGGGCAAGTGGCTACGCGTGAACAAACGGTCTCGAGAGTGAAGAGAGAGAACCTCCGTGCTCTGTCTCCACGCCATTCTCCCCAGAATCAGGTCAAGCGGGACTTCCCTTCCCTGAAGTCCGGGCAGCCTTCGAGGCAATGGTGCATGCATCGCGGCGTTCACTCACTCTCACTCTCCCCTTGGGGAGACAGAGCGGCCCGTTACGTAGGCAGCGCCTCCGTGAAGGGTCGTCAGCCCAGGCAGGGGAAGCAGAAGAAGCACCGGAGTGCTCGTCCCTGCGGTGAAGTTGCGGTGAAGCAACGCTTACCTATCTCGCCTGACGCCGGAGGGCGAAGGGAACTCGGACAAGCAGAGAAGGCAGCGACATCTTGATTCTTCAGTTTTAACAGTGGATTCCCTCGGCGCCAGAGTTCAAAGTTGCAGGTGCAGGCCTGAGCGGGGCTATTTATAGGGGGAGCTGGCTAGTGATTGGAGGATTCGATCTGAGATCTCTCTGGCGGGGCTAGGTGCCTCAGGACTCACCCATAGCGTAGCCTAAGGGGCATAGCACCATGAAGTAGAACTATTATGTCCTCTATAATATGATAAACTATGACCCCTGTGGCTCTATATTAAATGTATGGTTCATATGAAATGTTTTGAGTGAGCTAAAAATATGTTGTAGAAGAAACAATTTGCATAGCTCATCCTTCAGTCCTGTTAGGACGCAAAGCACAGCCCCTTAGAAAAACAGTCTAGATTTTTCTTTAAAGCCTCTAACTTCTCCTAAACACTATTCAGAATCAGAATTCTTTGTATTGCCATTGTCAGTAACAGGAAGTCACAAACTAGGAAGTTTGCTTTGGCTCTTGATGCCATTAGTCCTAGAACTAATCGCACCATTGGTGCAATTTATATAGCGCTAATGATGCTATAGAAATATTTAGATAGATCACCTGTTGAGAGCATTGCACATCTCAATGGTCACTAGCACAGACAGGGCCATAGTCATAGGAGGAGATGCCTCAAACACCTCACAGCGGATGCCAGTGAAGTCCTCATTCTCTTCACTGCACTGCATAAAGTGGGACTGCAGAAAAAAAGACATAGAATACACAAATTCAAGGGTCAATTCTTAAATGATCATTTAGAAGTAATATTGCTAACCAGCTGGTAGAAGGTGAGCATGGGACCCTCTTCATCGTAAAGAAACCACCAGGCGGCAGCAGCCACTGTAGCAGCACCAACATAGCCTAAAACCGAACAACACCAATGTTATCTGTGCTGTCCTAAAGCTGGGAAATCTAACATTTTGTCTTCATAAATAATACATTTAGTTGGTCCCAATAGTAAGAATCTTGTAAAATTTAAATTTACCAAATCAGGCCACATGTTATTAGAAAACAGACACACTTTGGGCAAAAGAACTGATTGGCTGAGTGAGGGTGTATGGAAGATTTTTTGTGTCGTCAGATTTTGAATTTTAAATGAGCTTGAATTTTTGAATTTTAAATGTTTAACCCTGAAAAAACATGTTTGAATATTTTTGTTTTTGCATTTCAGTAGCTAAAAATTCAGTTTACAAATTTCAATGCAATTAAAATTTCAAAATGACATAGTCATCTTCAAAATATTCAATATATATGTTTTTAGGGGCGACAGAAGCTCAGTTGGTAGAGCCTTTAGGCCTGAAGGTCGTGGGTTCATTTCCCACCTTGACACCTTGTCCACCGACTCCCACTGATGTCTGCTGTCGTTGTGTCCTTGGGCAAGACACTTAACCCCACTTTGCCCAAACCCCCCGCTGAGAGATCATGGCTATGCTCACATTGACAGAGCCGCCATCCTCCTGTGGACTCACCACCTGCAGAGGATCAGTGAGGGGCTGGTGCTATGAGACTTGGGTGGCCTCTCTGACTGCCACCCCCCCGACCCAGAAATGGATTAAGGGGTAGAAAATGGATGGATGGATATATTTTTTCAAAAAAAAAAATCTACGGATTATTTTTTCTATCAGAAATTGTATGGACCTGAATTCATCTATTTGATTTTTAAAGGGTCGGGGTGGTGGCAATAAAATCGGAACACCGGTTGTGTCATGTGAATTTTTCACCATCGTATTTTTTCCAGGCAAATTTAGACTGTTGAATTTAAATAAAAAACATAATGAAATTGATAATCAGTGACTGAATTTGCACACAAAAATATTCAAGATGTCATTTTGAAATTTTAATCACATTGAAATTTGTTACATTATTTTTTTGCGACTGAAATGCAAAGACAAAAATATTCAACCATGCTTTTTCAGGGTTAAAAATTTGAAATTGAGGGGGCGCTAGTGCGCAGGCATAGGATGTAGACGTGTTTTGTCAGTGCTCTCCACCAAAATTCTGAATAACCTCAAAATACACCACTAAAGGACTCTCAACAAGCAACTACCACTGCTTCTACGTATTTCTCACGTCGTGTGCATTACTTTTTTGGAAAATGCCACCAAAGACCAGCGCTTCAAGCAAGTCCAGAACCATGGAAGGGTATGTTGGCAATGCTACTGCTAGCGGGGCCAATGCTGGCGGGGCTAATGCTAACGCTGGCCGCCAGAATGAGCCAGCTCAAACACCCAACGCAAACCCAGGGGAAGACAAGACCTATGCTGTGTGTAGAGAGATGTGCAAGGAAATGTCTATGTCCATCTTGGGGAAGATTGATGAGCGTTTTGATGCATTTGACACAAGATTTGAGACCCTTCTCTCTGAGCAAGCTAACTTGAGAGAAAGACTGGACAGTCAAGAGCAAGCCACGTGTAGCCTTGATCTGCGGGTGACAACTCTGGAAAATAAATATGAGGCACTGACTAAGCATGCAAGCCAGCTACAAAATAAGCTTCTAGACCTTGAAGCTCGCTCACGCAGGCACAATATAAAAATAGTTGGCATTGAAGAGGGGACAGAAAGAGGCAATCCAACTGATTTTGTCTCCAGACTGATCCCAGAGCTTGTGGGAAAGGAGCACTTTCCACGTCCTGTGAAAGTTGACCGGGCTCACCGCACAGCACAACAAGCCCAACCGGGCAAATCACGGACTATCTTGGCCCGGATTCATCACTTTCAGGAGAAAGAGCTGATTTTGCAACGCAGCAGAATACAACAGGGATTTGAGTACAACGGGAAAAAGGTTCTGATTTTCCCTGACTACACCAGTGAAGTGATGACCCAAAGACGTGCCTTTCGAGATGTGATGCAGACCCTCCGGGACCACAAGATCAAGCACACACTTCGCTACCCAGCAAGGCTCCACGTGTACTGGCGTAATGGGGAAGCACCTGCAATCTTCAATGATGCCAAAGAGGCGGCTTGGTCCTTGGAGCAACACAAGTCCTCCGAAAAGGAATAAGAGGTGACTTAATCTGAGTGTGATGCATATTCAAAGTGAGAATAGAGACTTCACTTAATGCTGTCAAATGCAGTATTTTATGTTAATGAAACATGACTGAGTAGTCCCATTGGTTGAGTTTTTAAAACTTTATAAGGTTAGCACAGTGGTGATTTGTTTACTCAAATAAGATATGGTGGGGGGAATGTTGAGAGCGTCAGAGCGTCGTTATGACCTGTCCGGCAGTTCCTATGTGGATGAAGATGGGAATCCATGCGTCAGGTTCCGGGAGACGCATTTGGGACTGGCGGGACTCGGGGTGTTATGTTCTTCTAATTGTTAATGTTCTATGGCTCAGGTGCTCTTGTTTCATTGTAATCTTAATGTTGACAGTGCTGAATATTTGTTTTGTGCTCTTTCATCCCTGCATTTTCTTTAGCTCATTCTTAAAAAATGCATAGGACGCAGGGTATTGCACAGGCAGGAAATAGAGTTTTACATTTAGTTTCATGGAATGTTAAAGGGCTTGGAAGTGTTGTGAAAAGGGGGAAAGTGTTTAAACATCTCAAGTCTTTGTCAGCGGATATAATTTTCCTCCAGGAGACTCATATTAAAGCGGCAGTACAACATAGACTAAAATGCAGTTGGGCATCTCAAATATATCAGTCTCCGTTCACTTCAAGTGCCCGTGGTGTGGCAATACTGTTTAAAAAAGATGTTCCATTCCAGCTGACCTCTGTTATCAATGATCCTTTTGGCAGATTCTTGATGATATCTGGGTCAATAAACCTCTGTTCACCTTACTCTTCTGAATGTTTACGGCCCAAACACAGATGAACCCAACTTTTTTACCAAAATCTTTAACTTGCTACCAGATGACAATGACTCAAATATAATAATTGCTGGAGATCTAAACTGTTATCTTGATCCCTATTTAGATCGTTTGTCTTCACGCCCTCCTCCAGACATTGCCTCTATACGCACTCTAAACAATCTTATGAAAGCTAGAAATGTGGTTGATATTTGGAGAATTCAGCATCCTACAGACAGAGAGTATTCATTTTATTCAAATGCGCACAAGTCTTACAGTCGAATAGACTACTTCTTAACCAGTTCCAATCTTATTTCTCATGTCTCCAATTCTAAATACCATAATATCTTAATCTCGGATCATAGCCCTTTAGTAATATCTCTTGATCTCTCCCTACCGAAACAAACTTACTCATGGCGCTTCAATCCAACTCTAATTAGCGATGACAACTTTGTGAAACACATCACTGCAAAATTAAAGGACTTTATTGAACTAAACGATAACAATGAAGTGTCAGATTCAACACTATGGGAATCATTAAAAGCTGTTATCCGTGGTGACATAATATCCTACACCTCAAATCTTAAGAAAGTAAAAAAAAAGAAGACTCAATGAGATTAATACCACACTCCCAGATCTGGAGAGAAAATACCAAATTTCAAAATCTCCTGATGATTATAGAAAAATATTGAAGCTTAAATATGAATATAGTAGCATTATGAGTGATCAAGTTAACAACTTACTATTGAAACTTAGGCAAAAGCACTTTGAATTGGGAGATAAACCAAGTAAACTGTTAGCACAGCAACTTAAGGGCTCCCAAGCCTCCAGAGCAATTAATAAAATTATGTCTAAATCAGGTACTATTCTAACAAACCCCTCAGATATAAACAACTGTTTCAAGGAATTTTATGAGGAACTGTATTCTTCTAAGCAGCATGCAGAACAGTCCCATTTAAATGATTTTTTTGACCCTCTCTCCCTACCTAGGCTGGATGATGCTGCCAGGGACCATCTTGATTCTGAATTTACATTGCAGGAAGTCATCACAGTCATTAAACTAATATATGCAAATCTCCTGTGTTCTATTCTAACAAATGGTAATAGGTCTGCACCTTTCCCCCTACAGCGTTCTGTTCAGCAGGGGTGCCCGTTGTCTCCTGCTTTGTTTGCTATAGCATTGGAACCCTTGGCTGTAAAAATAAGAGCACATTCACGGATACAGGGTCTCATTGTTGGAGGTGTGGAGACTCTCATTAGTTTGTATGCTGATGATGTGATCCAGTATTTGCGCAATGCTGAGGAGTCGGTTGCTCCCCTTCTTGATTTAGTCGCATGTTTTGGCAAAATATCTGGTTACATAATTAACTGGATGAAAAGCGAGTTTATGCCACTGTCTCAGGCTTCAACAAACTTTCTAAAAAATGTTCCATTTAAAGTAGTCAATGACCATTTCACTTATCTGGGGCTAGTTATTCCAAAAAACCCTAAATTGATTTTTAAATTAAATTTTGTAGAGTTTGTAACGGGACTAAAACAAAATATCGAATTTATGGAAGATTCTCCCTCTCTCTATGGTGGGCCGAATTAATTCCATAAAAATGGTTTCCCTTCCTAGATTTTTGTACTTGTGCCAAAATTTACCTATTTGTCTAACATCTGCCTTTTTCAAAGATTTAGACTCGTTAATTATTTCCTATATTTGGAATAACAAAAATGCAAGGATTTCCAAGATACATCTACAAAAATCTAAAGCAGAAGGGGGGCTTGGTTTGCCAGTGTTTAAGCATTATTACTGGCTGCCAACCTCAGGGCGTTAATGTTTTGGAGGAAGGCATCCCCTGGCAGTCTGGATTCAAGTGCCCCCTTGTGGCTGAAAATGGAGGTCGGATCTGTAAAAGATTCATCTTTGGATGCAATTCTCTATTCTAAATTTGACAAATCTGAATCTTTTAGAAATCAATGTTTTGTTTTGAAGCAGTCTATTCGGATTCTAAACCAGGTC